GCTGCATGGTAAAGAACATTAACCAAGCGTTTCAAAGCGGTTGAAAAGGGTATACAGCGATAAAGGAAAATTTTGCCCCCAGGACCACTCCGTCAGCTGGTGCGGCTTTGCCCGCAGGATTCAGCCATACGGTTTATGGCACCTGACCGCACTGTAGCAACGAATCGCGCAAGGTGAGAGGGTCGAGAAACAGGGTGTACCAAAAAGCCCCACATCACTGTTCTCTACCTAGAATATTCGCTCGAAACACTTTTCATGATGCTGGGAACACTTTTGGGTTTTCAGCTTAGCGGGGACAGGTATCTGGACCCTTCTGCTTTCAGGAGATGGACAGCGCAAACTGCGCACAGTCTCCGCAAACGTCTGGGCTAGAGGGGAGGGTTATTGTTCAGGTTAGGGATTCGAGCTTTCAATGAGCCACGTGGTTAGTCCTACACAGCTCTCTCACTGTACATCTACAATCTCAGATTCTGCACTGCGCTTGTTTGTCTTTTCTACCGAATTCAGGCTAGCTCGTCAGCTCATTGTTCCCAAAGCTGTGTGGCCGTTGTTGTTTTTTCTTTCTCGTCCAAATTACATTGCACCCGAGACCCTGAGAATATGTGCACCCTTCCTGACCGAAACAAAATAAACCCAATCGGGAAGGGGTGCGACTCGGGAGGCATCAACCCTAACAAGAAAGAGGGTCCCGTGTTTAGGGTTGATTTTTCCCTAAAATGCGTCCGAGGGAGGCATCAACCCTAAACACCATGCCACAAGGTGTTTAGGTTGATGCCTCCCTGACCGGATGCCTTCCCGACTGGGGTTTATTTTGTTTGCTCGCGTGTCCGCTTGGGTATTTCGAGTGTAATATATTGAGTAGAAACGACAAACCAGAGCAGTAGAGAATCTGTGGTTGAACACCTACAGTGAGCTCTCTGTGAGAACTGGGAAACGTGGCTCATTGAGAGCTCGAGTCCCTAATCTGAACAATAACTCTCCCCCCTTAGCCCAGACTTGAGCGGAAACTGTGCGCTGAAAGCGCTACCCCTAACCTGAAAGCGGAGGGGTCGGGATACCCCTCCCTGCTAAGCTGAAAACCCAACACTTTTCGCTTTTTTATCTATATGTTTCTGCACATGGCTAACCGCGAATAGTCGGACAGAGCGCGCGGCAGTGCACCACTGTTTCCAACGGCGCGCGCGCCAGCGCAACACTGTTCTCAGCTTCCTTCCCTTTCATTGGCCGAATTTCTCCCGCCTTCCGTCTGTCAGCGGAACCCGTCCTCTCACTTTGCAGCGGCTTCCCCCTCGTGCTTGCAGGGACCAGAACGGGAGCCAACTCCTCCTCCCCTCAGCTTGCAGTGCCAAGCATGGCGAGCCAACCCCTCTCGCGGCCCTCTTCACTAACCTTTCACTGATTCTCTCAGGTTGAACCATAGCACCCATCTCGTCTCCTACCAAACCCTTTCAACCACTCTCAAACCTCCCAACCTCCCTTCCCTTCCATCCACTTCCCTCACTCTTCGCTTTCCAACCAGTCTGTTAGCCTCTGTTCCCATTCCTGAACGACTGTCTTTTCACGAATCTCGAAATTCCCAAGGCAGCGTAATTCTCTGCTGTGAAACGAGTTAGTCTGGGTAACTCGGAGTCCATGGCTTCCTCCGTTGTGACTACCGTTGTTGGTATTCAGAAATTTAAAACTAGTAGGACTATAGCCTGTCCAAAGTTCCGGATTCATATCGCTCTAACTCTTAAACTCGATGTCCACCAGCCTTATGATTCACCTTACGGCGGTCGGTCGGTTTTTCTAATCAGAGTTCTAACATTGGATCCGTTTTATCGGTTTCTACTCAAGGTACTTCGCAATGCTGTTTTAGTTTCTGCTCACGACGTGATTTTTCTTCCTACATCGTTCGCTCAGATCGAGCAAGCTTCGACCTACGAAATCCAACAAGTTACGAAGTACGAAGTCTGCAAGTTCCGACGGATGAATCGCTCCCGCAGTCTGCGACGTTACAACGGATGCGACCGTCGCAAAGCAGTTTGCTACCGACGCATGAGACGCTCCAGTAGACGAAGCCGTAAACGGACGAAGTTCTACAAAGCAGTCAACGGTGAAGTTTGAGTTAAGCAGACGACCCTTGAGGGGAATTTATGACGTCGTTAACGACTCAAAGTGACGACGATTGACCAAGTTAAGACGGCGAAGTTAAGATGGTGATCTCGGCGACGGCGGATCTGATAATGGATGAGTTCGCGAAGCCGTCTGCACTCGCGAAGTACGAAGTCTGCAAGAGATTATAAGTTCGCGAAGCCGTCAGCAGAGTTCGCGAAGCCGTAAGCAGGGTTCGCGAAGCCGTCTGCGCTCGCAACAACACATTACTACAAAGGAGCTCGCTCGCGACGACACTACCGCGTCAATGACAGTGGTAAACGCCGACGACCCTCTTGATCTTGCCATTTTCCCTTCATACGCGCTTTTTCATAACACTCTACGCTCTTGTTCATAACACTCTTTCTGTATGAATTTCTTTTCCAGTCTATCGATGCACTAATTTTGTCTCTCATTTCGTTTTTTTTCCCGATTCAAGCAGGGAAATTATGTTAGCTGAAGCTGATTATGCTGAAGCTGCGCAAGCCATGCGGATTGAGTTGCGCGGATGATGCGGTTGGCCTGCGCGGATGATGCGGTTGACCTGCGCGGATGATGCGGTTGACCTGCGCGGATGATGCGGTTGACCTGCGCGGATGAACGGTTGAGCTGCGCGGATTGAACGGACGCATGATGCGGATTGAACGGACGGATGATGCGGATTGAACTGTCTCCGGCAATCTTCCTGTCGACAGACGGATGCAAGTTGAACAGACGGATGCCATCCTGTCATCACCGCCTGTCGCGGCGTTGGGCGAATGGCTGAGGAAGCAGGGTCAATCGGAGTCACTAGTATACTGGGTAAGTTCTCACTCTTGATTGGTCCGTTATTCGGTCCCTTCCTCGAACCCTTATTCCTCGTTTACTCTGTCTAGCCTGAGTTCTGCTTCCGTTGTTCCTGTTTCCCGTTACTCTTCTTTCGCGAATCAGTTTTTCTCACTCTATTTGCCTTGCCCTGTGTGCCTTGTCTGAGCAGAATTTGTAGGAGAACTGGAGCGGCTGCTGGAGTGCTGCTGGCTGATCCTGGCGCTGCTGGAGTGCTGCTGGCTGATCCTGGCGCTGCTGAGGTGGACGGGCGCGTTGGGATGACGCACGGCCGGCAGCCACTGGCGTGTGGCTGCCTCTACCCGCCCTGCTGACCACCTGCTCGAGGAGCATTGGAACATGGGAGCCGTGGAGCATCAAGGCATCACTGGCATCTCGTGGGCAGCAAAGCAACTGGGAAGTCTCTTTCCCCTCGCCTTCCACCCTTCGTCACCCTCCATTCGTTTTGTCATTCCGTGCTTTGCACCTCGTTCGTTCTTCACTTCACTCCATCGTCCCGCACTTCGCGTTTATGCACGTCCCTCTGATACGTTCGGCTGCAGCCTAGTAGATGTCCTCCGCGGGTTTTGGGTAGCATAGATTTTGGGTTGGGTAGCATAGAGTTTGGGTTTTGGGTAGCATAGCTCCTCCCTCTGCTAGCTGCAGCCGGCGTATCATGGACGTGCATCCATCCCACCACCCACCTCGTTTCCTCGTGTTGTTCTCCGCTCTCAATTTTCGCACTTCGTTTCCGCTTTCAATTCCGCATTTCGTTTCCTTGTGTTTGTTTTGCTTTCGTTTCCATTTCGCAGTTCTGTTTACTGACTTCGTCCATCTGTCTTTGTGTGGGTGCTCTGATGATGGATGGCGGGACACTACCTGAAATTGGATGAGCCTCACCCCGCCTCCACCTGGGCCGGGCTCTGCCTGGTTTGAGCGAGGCTTGAGAGACGTCTCTTGTCCTCCTCGTGCCACTGCGGGGTTGCGGAGCGGAGGTGGACTGCACGGCACGTCAGCAACGGTCGTCGTGGTGCGTGTTGTAAGTGTAGCTGCTTTCAGCGCTTTCCTTCCTTGTTTGTTGCTTGCTTGTTGCTTCTTCGGTATTTCCTAGTTTGTTGCTTGTTCTTTGCTGTTTCCTAGTTGTTGCTTGTTTTTCTTCTATGTTTCCTCGTTAGTTGCTGTGCTTGCTTGCTTGCTGTTTGCCACTAACCCCCCGTGGTCCCCATGCAGGTCCCACACGAAGGGTCCCCACCTCAACGTGGTGTGTGGGTGTAACACTAGGGGTTAACCCCCCTAGTGGCCAAGAGGGGCCCAGAAGACCCAAGAGAAGACCATGGCGCGCTCTATTATTGCATAAATGATTGTAGATTTAGATAATTGCCTGAATACTGATAAATATGCTAAGGTTATGGATCTGCTTAGGTTGGCAGCATTGACATTTAATTTGAAACTAGGTAATCTAGCATGCACCAGAGAAGCATAGGGCGCAGCAGAGTTGATGAACAGATTCACTCATGTATGCACAAGGACATAATACATACCGGTGCATACCATTTTATGCAAATATAGCAATAACATGCAACAAGTGTTCATGATTACTTTCTGTTGTGCTGCGTTGTGCCATCTGCTGAGGTGCTAATGAATAGCTGCTGTTTGCTGTTCTGTTTTGAAATAAAATCAGTAATACGGTAAAAGAGAGCACATGCATCATTGTACTTCCAGGTGTCACTACTTGGGACTGGCCTAGACCAAACTGTGCAGTGAGTTCTGAACTGGCTCCAATCAAGCATGTTGAACAAGCCCAACCCACACGCAGCTCCTCTATCGAACATCTGGAGGCACATCCTCAGGCCATGGAATGTGGGCTTACTTTTCGTGCAAATGATCTCCCATTCCATCACAGTATCCCTCCCTAAGCAATGCAATCAATGCCTGCCACCAGCTGAAGCGTTGAACGGTCCATTCAGCCCACCATGAGCTGATCACATGTGTGCAGTGCTTGGCTGGCAACGAAGAGCACATCATTCAACCTCCTCACCCCACTCAACCGCATCAACAGTCGTTCAGCCGACCATGAGCTGATCGCATGCCTGCAGTGCTTGGTTGGCAAAGAAGCGCACATCTGGGTCTGGGTCCTCATTCAGCTCAAACAAGGCTGGCCGAATGCTCTGCTCCACAATCTGGTCGAGTGGGAAACGGTAAGAAAGCAAGGTGACAGGAAGATACACCGCAGAGGAAATGGGAGGAACTAGATGAGATAGGAAGAAATATAGGAGAGAGGATTGGAAAAATAGGGATGTGAGAGGAGCAAGAGGGGTGGATGATGGTGGTGGGTGGGTGGGGATGGGAGGGGGGGAAGTGGGGGAGGAAGGGGAGGATCATCAATATGGGTGTGCTTACCGATGGTTCGACAATGGTGACGAAGGATTGAAGCATCTTGGCCACATTGAACCGAATGTTGGGCACCCTGATGGGGAGAAAGGGAGGAGTGGAAGGAAAATGGAAGGAGGTATGAGGGGTGAGAGAGGTACGAGAGGAGTGAGTGAGAGATTATGCAAGGCATAAGGAGCGAGTGTGAGTGAGAGAGCTAGAGAGGAGGCATGGGACAAAACCGGTGTCCTCCTGTCACTCTCAGCGCCCATCTCGCTCTCACCTGTCCTTGGCGGCGTTGAGCACGATAGGCAGCATGGTGCTGCAGGTGGCTCCAAAGGCGACTCAAGACTCACACGCCCCAGCTCAACCCCCCCAGCCCACCCTCAGCTATCCCAGCTCGCTCTCACCCTCAGCTATCCCGGCTCGCTCTCACCCTCAGCTATCCCGGCTCGCTCTCACCCTCAGCTATCCCGGCTCGCTCTCACCCTCAGCTATCCCGGCTCGCTCTCACCCTCAGCTATCCCGGCTCGCTCTCACCCTCAGCTATCCCGGCTCGCTCTCACCCTCAGCTATCCCGGCTCGCTCTCAACCTCAGCTATCCCGGCTCGCTCTCACCCTCAGCTATCCCGGCTCGCTCTCACCCTCAGCTATCCCGGCTCGCTCTCACCCTCAGCTATCCCGGCTCGCTCTCACCCTCAGCTATCCCGGCTCGCTCTCAACCTCAGCTATCCCGGCTCGCTCTCACCCTCAGCTATCCCGGCTCGCTCTCACCCTCAGCTATCCCGGCTCGCTCTCACCCTCAGCTATCCCGGCTCGCTCTCACCCTCAGCTATCCCGGCTCGCTCTCACCCTCAGCTCACTCCCATCCCTGCATGCAATCACCTGTCCTTGGCCGCATTGAGCACGATGGGCAGCATGGTGCTGCAGGTGGCTTCCGAGCCGAGCACTGGTGCGAGCATGGAGATGGAGAGCAGCACTGTCATGCGGTACAGGTAGTGCGGGTTGTTCACCTTGCTCACCACCTGTCGTGGGAGACAAGGGCGGCCAGGCAGGAGAAGGCCAAGAGGAGAGCGAGAGGAGATTGGCCAACACATGTGCAGCAGATGATTCCAACGCTGCTGTGCAACTCAAGCTGTCGTAGAACTTCGGAAATGGATTTGGCCAGCGCGTGCGTGTAAGGGCTCTGTAACTACATGGCTACAAAAGGCAACCCTACTATTTTCAAGCCGGGCGGATGATATGCTTGTGTTACTAATTAGAAAACAAAGAAAGAAAGGAAGAAGGAAAGAAAGCAAGCAAGCAAGAAAGAAAGAGCACATGGCGACAGATATGTATCCAACTTTGTTCCTTACCATGGGAACGATGTGCGCTTGGGCCCACTCTGGGCCAAACTCCTCCCCCAATCTTTCCATGTGTGTGTGTGTCAATATAGAGACTTCGAAAACATGACTTCATGGCTACACGTAGGTGATTTACTTGTTTCATACCATGGGCACGATGTGCGCTTGAGCCCACTCTGGGCCAAACTCCTCTGCCAACCGCTTCAGGTTCGTGGCTGCTGCCTCACGGATGGAGTACACCTGGTGGATCGTACGGTGGGGTGAGGCGTGGTGGGGTGGAGTGTGGTGTGGTGTGGAATGGGATGGCATGAGAAGGGATTGAATGACCGAGCGTGAGGGACAGGTAGAGCATTCTAACATGCCCTCACAGCTTAACAATGTCGGCCTATCCCACACACATATCCTCATCCGAAAGAAAGCTCAACACCCACCTGGTCCTCGAGCCACTTCATGCAGAGGTCCTTGAGCTTCTCATCAAAGAATTCCATGCCCAGTAACACCTCACTCCCACCCACCCACCCCTCTGGCTCCCACCCACTCCCACCCACCCCTACCCACTTGCACCCATCCCCACCCACCTGGTCTTCGAGCCACTTCATGCAGAGGTCCTTGAGCTTCTCGTCGAAGAACTCCATGCCCAGCTGCCCCGCCAGCAGCGGGATGTACTCGATGATCGCCAGCCGCACCCGCCAGTGCCGGTCCTCCGACAGCTCCACTATGGCCGGGAACAGCGACTGGGAGAGGAGGTCCATGCCCATCACCTGTAGGGAAGGGATTGGAGGAGGCGGAAAGAAAGATGGAGCAAGTGAGTGGAGACAGCAGCAGGATGTACTCGATCAATGCCAAGTCTACGCAAGTCAGACAGAGTCAAGCCTGCCATGACGGTGTGCCCACACCTGGTTGACTTGGTCGAGCTTGCTGATGATGTTGAGGCGCACGTCAGGGAACTCGTCCTTGAGCAGGGCGAGGAAGAGTGGCAGCAGGTGCTCAATGGTCATCTCCTTGCCCATCAGCGGCGCCATGCCCATTATCACCGATGCCAGGGCTGACCGCACATGCTGCGAGGCGTCCGTTGAGAGGTCCTGAGGAAAGAAGAAGAGGAGGGGGAGAGGCGGGGAAGGAGCAAAGGGAGCGGTTGGAGGGCAGAAATGGGGAAAACCGTACCTGTATGTGCTTATACAAAACGATGGACAAGCCCTTCTAAGGAAAGAGCAACCAGTATCCCCTGGCTTCTGACCTTGACGCAGGGCAGGATGGCGTTGAATGCGCCCTTGTGCTTGACAATGGTGCAGATCTTAATGACCTCGCACAAAAAGGGTTTACGACGCAGGGCAATAGCCATCTCACCGCTAGAGAGCCAGCAGTGTACAGGGTCACCGGTCCCCCCTGCTCTCTCACCTTGACGCAGGGCAGGATGGCGTTGAAGGCGTCCTCGCGCTTGACAATGGCACAGATCTTGGTCACCTTGCCCGCTGCCGCAATCCGCACCTCCGCCTCGTTGTCCCGCAGCAGCGCGATGAACGCCGGTACCAGCTCCGCACTGGGGGAGGGGGGAGGGGGGAAGGGGTTGGAGGGACAGAAAGAATGACGCCTTAAGTAGGGCTCGTGAGACTCTCCATGCCACCCGCCTCGATGTCATGCAGCGCAGCAGCGCAATGCACGCAGGCACAGGGAGAAGGGGGAAAGGCGGGGGAGGGGATTCACGACTGCATACGGCTCGTGAGGTTCCGAGTGATTCGCCTCGTTGTCGCACAGTAGCGCAATGAAGACCACAGCAGCTTCACACAGTTATGTCCGTTCAGAGAGGGGGAAGATCGGGGAGGGCTTGCACAGGGACGTATTGTGCGGCATTAGGACATCAGAAGATGCGTGCGACGTCTACGTACCGTGCGACGTCTACGTACCGTGCGACGTCTACGTACCGTGCGACGTCTACGTACCGTGCGACGTCAGGGCCCACTGCCTCGCAGAGCTCGTGCAGCTGATTGGCCACCATGTAGCGCACACGCCACGACTTGTCCTGTTGTGACACACCAGATGCCACAGGCCACGTCAGCAGAGGAATATCTCAGCGTGCGCATCCGACTTTGAAAAAAAAAGGTCTGGGCATGGAAAAACGTTTAACTACATGCAGGGCGCAAGCCCGTAAGGGAAGTGAGAGTTGAGAAGCGGGAAAATGCAAGTGCAGGTGCGAGTGGGGAAAACCAGCAAGTGAAAGGGTAATCAGACAACTGGGGTTCTAACTTACCAACCCTTTCAAAACAATGCACAAGTGACGAAGAGGTGCGCAGGGAGTAGGGAGTGGGGAATGGGGAGCGGGGGAAACGGGGAGCGGGGAGCAGAGTGCAGGAAGCAGGGAGCGGGGAGCAGGGAGCAGGAAGCGGCGAGTGGGGAGCGTGGGGCATTGTATTTACCTGGGCGAAGGAGAGGATGATGGGGAGGATGGTGGATATGCACTCCTCCTTCTCCAGCAGCTTGCCCACCGCCGCACACCCCTCCACCGCCAGCAACCGCACTGAGTCCTGGTCTGCACGCAGCAAGGGATGCATGCAACAACAGCGTGCACAGGGCAACATAGGACAAAAAGGGAACAGAATCTTTATGCGCTGCAAACACCACCGCGCACCCCTCCACCTTCGCGGTTCCCCTTGCTTCAGCCATCCCTTTCCCCACACATTCGCTACAGCCACAGCTATTCCCCCATTCCGCTACAGCCTTTGCTTCCCTCCCATCCCTTCGTCTCTGCCCCTTCGCTACAGCCCTCCCCCTCCTTTCCCTGCACGCAGCCTCCCCTGCACGCACACTTCCCTGAACGCACCCTCCCTTGCACGCACCCTCCCCTGCACGCGCCCTTCCGTGCACGCACCGTCGTTAGTGAGGTCTTTAAAGAAGGCGAGGATGTCGGTTTTGAGGAACTGCGGCTCGACGGTGGCGGCGAACTTGCCCATGTTGAGCGCGGCGGAGCGGCGCACCATGGGCATGTCGTCGTGGCTCAGCTGCCCGTACAGCGTGCGCAGCTCGGCGCGCTGCTGCTCCGTCGCCGCGGGGTACGCGATGTGGAACAGCCCGCACGCCGACACGCGCGCCGTGAACCAGTCGCCCGCCGCCAGGCGCTGATGCAGGTGGGGAAGGGTGGCGGAGGGAGGGCGGGGGAGTTCGGGAAGAGCAGAGGAAGCAGGAGGACGGGAAGGGGAAGGGGAGGCGGGAAGGGAGGGGATGGGGAAGGGATGATGAAAAAAAATGGCAGTATGAGAGGGAGGGGTCCGACGAAAGGAGTGGGATCTGGAGATGAAAACGCAAGCCTGTGGCCAACCGCTGCTGCCTGTTGCTCCGTCGAATCAGGCACGGAAGGCACGAAAGGAAGCGCGCGTGGATAGCCAGTCTGTCTGTTGCAGGTTGCGATAAAAATTATAAATTTCTTTCTACGTGCTTCGCAGCATTCGTCGACACGGCAATCGCGGGTGCGAGACAGACAATACCACTACCGGTGGGAGCAGTGGGAAATTCGTAAGCAACGCAATCAACAGCGAGAAAAATAGGTCAGTCAAGAGTCAGAAGCGCGACACGAGTAAAAGCTCGCGATTTGCGATACTGAAAGCAGCCTGAACCCCTGACATTATCAGCATCGACTCCAAAATAATGCTCGATACAGTCCAGTCGAGCGGCACAGTTCAGTCTCTTTTGAGAGTTCTCAAAGCGACCCTGGCATTATTAGCATCGACTCTAATAAAATGCTTGATACCGTCCGGTCAAGACACAATATTGTTCCACATTGTACTCAACAGTGGGAGGTCAAAGCCATAACTGAACCTGAACGCGAAGCTGATGGAGGTAAACCTAAAATGGACGTGAACCTGAAATGGAGGTAAACCTAAAATGGACGCGAACCTGAAATGGAGGTAAACTTAAAATGGACGCGAACCTGAGATGGAGGTGAACCTAAAATGGACGCGTGGAGCTAAACTGGACGCGCACCTGAACAAGCGGGACAAAGTACTCGACAATGTCTCTCGGCTTCATCTGCTGTCCGATCTTGCACAGCGATTCCACCGCCTTATCGCGTACAACCGTCTCCTCGACGGTGCAGAGCGTCTCCAGCGGCGGGAGAATGACGTAGGCGAAATCGATCCCACCGACGCACGGAATGAAGGAGCCGAGCTCTTCCGCCATGGCCAGCAGCACTTCGTCGTCATCGTCGTTGTTCTCGTTAAGAAACGGAATGAGCTCCTTCCGCGTCCTGTCCTCGCCGAGAGCCCTCGCGATCGTGCTCAGCCGCCTTATCGAGTTTAAGCGCAGCTGAATGTCGTCATTTTTAAGCTCGTCGATTAGAATGGCTATCGGGTACAATGGCTCCTCCACGACGGCCATATTTGTGGCCATGTGGAAAATGTGACGTCAACCCTAAAATATAACACGACTCTGAGGGTAAGCAATGGCCAATTAACAGAGGATCTGGCGAGTTGATTCTCGGTCAATCCTCTCGTTTCGCTACTAAACAAGCCTGAAGAAAAATCAGAAATAGAGCGGTACGGATACAAAGGAGGGTCTGTGAAGCAGTGAAGCTTTTGTGAAGCAGGTGGGTGGGAGGAGGTTGGCTGAGGAATTGAACTGAAGTCTCGGTGGGTGGCTTGACGTGGGGGGGAAACAGACGGATGAGGTTGGAGGCGAAGCCCTAGATATTGTCGATCACATCTACACCGAACCGGTAATAGGGTTCTGTAACACATGGTACACCCAAATGCTTATGAAACATAAGTGAAACATCGGTTTTCCTTGTACTTGGAATGGAACTCTGATGTCTACGTCATGACTTGCTTGAACCAACCGTTGAGAATTGACGAAACCGGCAATTCAAACCAGAAGCTCACCAAACCCTGTCCATTCGGCAAGGATTTGGCCGTCTAAGCAAACCGCGTAAAACCTCGCTGACGAATCATAACTATCGGCGAATACCACTTTGGATCCCCGTCAGGATCAAGCAAAACCGCACCAAGCGCATTACCCCCCTCACACGCTACGTACAATTCGCGCACTCACTTCATCTCAGCTTCCTATTGGCCCACGTCGTCCCCAAACCCTCCTTCAAACAGCTTCCATCCCGCCCTCCCCCCTCTGGGCCTGAAATACGCCGTGTGCCGCTTGCGTGTGCGGGGAAGCAAGCGGAGCGGGTAGTGGTGGTGGCTCAGGATGGGTCACGGGAGTCTCAGGTCAAGGGTGTTGTGGGGCAAAGCGGGACAAAGCGGTTGGCTGAATATCCGAGCGGTTAGGAACGGTTTTGAGATGAAATGCCTCTCCCAACATACGTTTGAGGTGAAGTCAAGGCTGCTGCATGCTTCTGTTCCTGCCTGTCTTAGGTTTGCTTGCTTGTTTGCTAACTCACGGAAGACCGCGCTTGGTCCACAACCTACTAATTGGTGCCGAGTATTTTGCGCTTGAAGAATTTAACTCGTGGCTATTGCTGTTTGGAAGTCCAACTCTTAAAAATTGGAACCAGCCAAAACCTTGGATTTGCTTTCGTCTGACTCAAGCAACCATTGTCACGTTGCGTAAAGAGATACCCGAGTCTCGGCTGAGACACTCAGGTTTCGGCGTGCTGTGACCCACATCCTCAGCTACTCACGTCCTCAGCTCGTATCGTGTTCACCCGCTGTCAGCCTCTTGCGTGTGTCTGGGCTTGCCGTAGACCCCTTCTCGTTCTTCCCCGTCCTCGTTCTTTCCTTGAATTGCGCTCACACTTCTTCTGCTTCGCTCTTCGTCGCCTCTTTCCTTCACATCCACCCCGCATCCCTCTTACCACCACTTTTCCCAATGGATCGCGCGTACAAATCCGCCGCGTTTTTCTTTTTTTCCATGTCTACCAAATAGCCCGCGATAGCTCCCTTAGCAGCAGCTAGTTCACCTTTTCCGCGTGCCGACGACGGTAGGACGGGTCGTTTAGGGTCACGTCATGTCTCCAGTCATGGTTTCGTTTCCGAGTCTTCCTCTAGGGAGTATCGTTGCTGCTACCCTCGCACTGTATTCGCTCTAGAAATCGCTCGTGCCTCTTCCCTAGACTACCTTAGAACACGTTCGCACTAGATTAGTTTCCCGGCGCTCCATATCTTCTAAGACTTCCCTTAACTTCCGGCTTTCAGTGCCATTCATGGATTCTGCGATTGCGTGGGATTCTGGGAACCGCAACCGCGCTTGATTTCTTACATTCATACGGCTCTCTCTTCGAACGGACAGGATGAGCTGCCTATCGCCTCGCGCTCGCCACGCCTCTCGTCTGGGATACAATGGTTGCGACGCATGGCGTGTGGTGAAGTCAGACGTGCTGGTCGCAGGCGTTCTTGGTGGCAGCCTTGTTCTCGAGAGGGGGCTCATCTGCTAAAAGAAACACTTACGCAGAGTGATACGACGCAGAGAATTACGCTGTTTTAGTTTTCCGCCAGACTCTTTGAACCATCATGACCTCTTCCTTGATCGTGTCTTCATCCTCGTTACAGAATGCTGCTTTACCGAGCAACATCAGCTCTTCAGTGACAATTGGCTCTACCGCATCCTCATCAGCATCAAGCAGTCATTTCCGTGCCCTGAGTTCCGAGTCTTTTGCCCCGCCGAGCAAGGTTCGCCGACTGGAAGGTCATTTTTCGCCCCTCGAAAATCCCAAGGAGACAGAAGGATTGACGGAGGAGGAGGGAGGAGGAGGGCAGTTGTTTCACCAGTTACGCTCTTCCGCGCCTGCTTTCTCCCACGATCGCGCTGATTCGTCGCATCTTCTTCTTGACGCTGAGCCATGCCACTCTCGGGGGTCCTCTTCCAAGCCTTCTCTCGCCTCTCTTCCCTCCGAGCTTGTCCGCGTTATAGTCTCCCTCGTTGACGCGCCAAGAGACCGCGGTTGCTGCGCACTCGTCTGCCGGGCCTGGCGCCAATGGGAGCGTGCCACGCGTACCCAGCTACACCTGCGCGGAAGCCTCAGCGACCTTCCGAGCCTGGGGACGTGCTTCGACTCGGTGACGGACCTGGACCTGGCTGATGTCCACCCTGATTGGCCAGGTTCGGAAGAAGAACTTCGGCAGGTCTTCCGAACGTCGTTTCCGAACCTCCGCCGCGTCCGAGCCAACGTCAGCCCATCTGGCTTGGAATACGTGCGCCAGTGCTGGCCGAAGCTGGAGAACATCGTGATTGGCCACTGGGATGGCCTGGACGAGGGTTTGGAGGCGCGCCACGTCAGCAGTTTGGTGTCCCGTTGCCCTAAAGTCGACTCGATCGACCTCTCTTGGAGCAGGCACTGTGACTTTAACGAGTTGCCGAAGCAGCTGAGCGATTACAAGCTGGGGAGGATTCGCGTGCTGAACCTGCTGGGCGGGCCTGCTCCGTTAAGGGATGACGCGTTAGAGGTGTTTGGACGGGGTGCCTTTCCGGGGCTTGAGGACCTGAGTTTCGCGATGGCGGATGGTGGCGTCACTGACATGGGGTACGTAGTGTCGCTAATCCCTTAACTCAGAGTAGTAGTATGGCATTGTGCCAATGATTTTCAAACCCCTCGCTTCCTCTCGCTATGCGCATGTGTACGGTCATTGAGCTTGATCTATTTGTCAATATTTAACCCAAATTAAATTGGCGTCAGAGGGGTGCTGTTGCGTGGCAGCCGCCCGCTGTTTATCAACTGTTTTGTGGTCATCGTTGTCTGCGCCTCAAGAACAAGACTGTCCGTGTGCGCACTGCGTGTCCCTTGGCACACTGCAGCTGGCGCCTGAAAGAGCCATGGTTAGTCGCAATGATGCCATTCAGGCTGCCAGCTGCCTCCCAGCTACCCGCACCCTGAAATGACTAGCGCTGCCCGTTCTAAATCGATTCGTCTGCTTCGCCCGTCGTGGGCGGCTGGTGATTGCGTTTGCGCTGCTGCCTTTGTCGGGGCTGGGGGTCGGCCCCCTCCGAACACTGCCCGCAGCAGCAGCAGCGGCGTCCCCATTCCAACAGATTAGGCCTGGCAGCGGACTGGGCTTGCCTGTGGGCAGCTGCACAGCTGCCGGCCAAGAGCCATGCTGCTCGCTTGGTTTGAAAATGCGGATGGGTTTGGGAGGGAGACGGTTTGGGTGCAAGTGGGTGATGATGCGCATGGTTGCGGGGATTGGGTTTGGGATTCGGGGGATTGGGATTGGGATGGGGATTGGGATTGGGTTGGTGACGACTTTTGAGACGTCTCAAAAGTGGTTCGGGTGCATGTGGGTGATGATGCACATGGTTGTGGGGATCGGGTTTGGGATTTGGGGGATTGGGATTGGGATTGGGTTGGTGACAGGGATGGCGATGGATTAAAGCCTGTGGGAGGAGTGCTGCTGGTTGTCCTCATCTCTACCGCTCCCATCCATCACTCCTCTCCACCGTGCCTCACCTGCTCCAACCACTTGCTCCGCTCCCATTGTTCCTGTCACGCTCTCTTGAATCAATTATTCCAATATTCTGTTTCACACTCTGGCGCATCGCTTGCCCTGTGCCATGCCATCCCATCCCATCCCATCCCACACCATCCCACTCCTCCCCACCCCTCCCGCTGCTCGGCGCGCAGGATTGCGAGTGTGGCGCGTGGGTGCCCGGCTCTGCGCGTGCTGCGCATTGAAGACGTGGCTCACGACCTCAACGACAGCGATGACGGGGACGCGGATGGAGTGGCGGATGGGGGGGTTGCTAATCGGGATGGCATTGGAGACACTGAGGACGCGGTCGTGGATGGCCCTTGGGACGCATTTGCTGGCTCAGAAGCAGCAGCAGCAGTAGTCTCAGAGGCAACGGTAGCAGCAGCTGCAGCAGCGGCGGGCGCTGCCGAGGTTGAGCAAGTGGATATCGAGGGTTTGGATGAGTATGTGCCTTTTCCACCTGCTGCAACCGCGGGCATATCAGCTGCAGCCCTTGCCTCTATTCTTGGCCCATCTCCCCTCCCCGCGTCCTCCCCCTTCGCCCTCTCTTCTGCCTCTCCTGCTGCTGTCACTACCACCGCCGCTGCTGCGCCTGGTGTAGCTGGTATTGCTGCTGCAGCAAACCCTCCTCCTCTATTCGCCCCTCGTGCACCAGCACCACCGCCGCTCCCAGTCCACACAGCCTGCCCAACCTACCCGATCACAGCCGCCGCACTGGAGAGTCTGGCTCGGCACTGCCCGAGCCTGGAGGAGCTGTGCCTGGTGCCGTCCTTCTGTGTGCACCGCAGCGGGCCCGCAATGGAGGCGCTGGCTGCTGGATGCAAGTCGCTGCGTGTGCTGCGACTCACTCGGTTCCTGGGACTTGGTCGAGGGGTGCTGGCTGGTGGCGAAGCAGGAGAGGGTGTGGCGCAGAGGGGTGGTGATGGGCAGGAGGAACAGGATGAGCAGGAGGCAGTCAAACAGGAAGAGCAGCCACAG